GAATACTTTCCGTACCCACTGTATATACACACACACACACACATATTAGGGATGCACCGAAATGAAAATTCTGGGCCAAAAACCAAAAATTCTGGATGCACTTGGCCAAAAACCGAAACTGAAAATGAAAAAACAAAACAAAAAAAACAAACAAACACAAGCCAATAAAATAACCACACTTTTAGTGAATGTAATAAAATTGGACAGAAAATGTATTAATATTCAATATCAATATATTATTTTTATTAAAAAGTTTTATGCATAAAACTGTTTTATGCAACAGAATCAGATATAACATTTTTTTTTGACTAATTATCTGAATAATGTATATTCCTACAAAGCTATTATTATCAGAGCATGTGAGCAGAGCAGAGCATCACGAGAGAGTAGTGTCATTTTACCAGCATGGCCCAGTGCAGCTGTACTACAGCATGTTACAGCACAGTAAGCTATACTAGACAGAAATGTCCCGCTGGCGCATTATTTGAGCAAACTTTTTCCAGTGAGCATGAGCAGTACACGAACAGACCGCACATTCAAAAATTACACTATATTGATGTGTGCATGCTCAGTAGCCACAGCTGTACCTTCTAGCCTTAACAGTTTTTTTCTCTTTTGGCCAAAAACAGTACATCCCTAATATATATGTATATATGTGTGTGTGTGTGTGTGTGTGCTGTGAAAATCACATAAGGGAACACCATCCTTTCTTTGATTTATTATTTCTCTCTTCAGCTTCTTTTTGGAGCATCTTGGAATGTTCCTCTTTCTTGTCTTGCAGGGTTTGACAGAGTTTTTCAGCTTCTTGTTGCAACTCCTTCATTTTGTTTCCTTTATGATCTTGCAGGCTTTGACAGAATTGTTTAACGTCTTCTTGAAGTGCTCCTATTTTTTGTCCTTTCTGGTCTTTCAGGAGGTTATTGAGTGCTTCAGCTTGTTTTTTTAGCTCATTTATTTCTTTTTCTTTCTGGTCTTGCAGACTTTGACAGACTTGTTTAACAAGTTCTTGTAACTCTCTTATTTCCTTTTCTTTCTGGTCTTTCAGGTGTTGATGGAATATTTTGAGTGATTCATATTCATTCTGATGTTCATCCAGCTTCTGTTGGAGCTGCTCTTTTCCTTCTTTGAAATCATTCAGTTCTTCTGCTTGTTTTCTGGCTTCACCTTCATGTTTCTTCTTCATCTTTTTCATTTTCTCTTCATATTCCTTTTTCATTTCACTTCTATCTTTCTCTTCTCTTTCTTTTCTCTCATTCTCCTCTTTTTCTCTTCTCTTCATCTCTTCTTCTTGCTCTTGTTTCAGAGCTTCAATCATTTTCTTCCATCTCTTTCTCTCTTCTTCTTGTTTCTCATCATCTTCTCGTTTTCTTCTCTCCCACTCCTCTTTTCTCTTTTGCTCCAGCTGATCATAATGTCTTTTTGTTTCCTCTTTCTTTTCATCATATTCTCTCTCTTTTTCTCCTCTTTCTCTTCTCTCTTTCTGTCTCTCTTTCTCTATCTTCTGTCGTTCTTCTTCTCTCTCTCTTTCAAATCTCTTTCGCATTTTCTCCAGTTCTTCTTGTTTTTCTCTCAGTTCTTCCTCATGTTTATCTTTTCTCTTTCTTTGCTCTTCCTCTCGTTCTCTCATCTGTCGTTTCTTTTCATCCTCCCATTCACTCTGCTGTCGTTTAATTTCCTCTTGAGTCTCTTTTCTGTCATTTTCAGCCTCTTTTATTTTTCTCTTCCATCTCTGTCTCTCCTCCTCTTCTTCTTCATTCCTCCGTTTCTGCTCAGATTCTCTCTTTTTTATGTCTTCTTCTTCTTTCATCTGTAATTCTGCTATAATGTGTTCTTGATCATTTCTCATCTTTTCTTGATCTTGTCTGTATTTCTCTTCTCTCTTTCTATCTTCTTCTTCTCTTTCCTTTTGCTGTTTTTCATACTGTGATCTCTGATTTTCAATCTCTCTCTTCATTTCTTCTATTTTTCCATCATATTCAGCTCTTTGCTGTTTTTCCTCCTCTGATCGTTTCTGGTTTTCAATCTCTCTTTTATTCTGTTCTGTTTTGTGTTTTTCATCAAATTTTTTCATCATTTTTTCCTCTTTTTGTCTGAACTCATTCTCTCTTTGTTTTCTTTCCTCATCTGCTTTTATTTTCTCTTCTTCCAGTCTTTTCTTGAGCTCTTCCATTTCTGTCTCGTATTT